AAAACACAAACTACAATCGTAGGACATTAATACAAATCTACAAACATGCAGAAACATGCTCCCTCAAATGGACATGCACAAAAACGTACATGTAAAAAAACATGCGCAAAAGTGCATCCGCAACAACATTCTTGAAAACACGAACTACAATACTATGACTTTAATACGCATCAACAGACAACAACAAAAACACTAGATAAAAAAGATACAATGGAGTGTAAGTCTATGGGCCCTTAATCTAGGTTTACGTGGATTTTGTTTGGATTAATTTATATTTCTGTTTTTATTGGTGGATTTGGTATCTCTTAGGTCAAATCGAAAATTAGGTGTCCAGAAGGAAAAATGATCAAAGGGTAAGAAAAGAGTTGCAATTAAGAAAATAAAATCAAATTAGAAGAGAGAATCCCTCAACATCTTTGGTAGTGTCCACGAAGTCGAGCATAACTCTCTCATCCGGACTCCAAATCGACTTGTTCCGGTGGCATTAGAAAGCTGTTTCAGTGGGCTACAATTCCCGTCTAACGTCAAAATTCCAAATTCGGACTCGAACATGGTCAAAATTGGATAACAAAAGCGATCATGAGAATACGTACTACAATTCAAGGACGTGAATGCGCATCAAGAAACGTGCACAAAAACACTCGCTAGAAAAGATACGCACATGAGGAAAAGTTCAAAAGCATGCACAAAAGTACTCAAGCAAAAGTGCATTCCAAAAAAGGATCATGAAAACACAAACTAAAATCCCAGGACATTAATACAAATCAACAAACATGCACAAACACGCTCCCTCAAATGGACATGCACAAAAACGTACATGTAAAACTACATGCGCAACAGTGCATCCGAAGCAATCTTCTTAAAAACACGAACTACAATACTATGACTTTAATACGCATAAACAGACAACAGCAAAAACAGTAGATAAAAAAGATACAATGGAGTGTAGCAATAATACTCGACGTTTACGTTTACGTGGATTTTTGTTTGGATTAATTTATATTTCTGTTTTTATTGGTGGATTTGGTATCTTTTAGGTACAAGTCGAAAAATAGGTGTCCAGGAAGCAAAAATGATCAAAGGGTAAGAAAAGAGTTGCAATTAAGAAAATAAAATCAAATTAGAAGAGAGAATCCCTCAACATCTTTGGTAGTGTCAACGAAGTCGAGCATAACTCTCTCATCCGGACTCAAAATCGACTAGTTCCGGTGGCATTAGAAAGCTGTTTCAGTGGGCAACAATTCCCGTCTAACGTCAAAATTCCAAATTCGGACTCGACCATGGTCAAAATAGGATAACAAAAGCGAAAATGAAAATACGTACTACAATTCAAGGAACTGAATGCGCATCAAGAAACGTGCACAAAAACACTCGCTATGAAAGATACGCACATGAGCAAAAGTTCAAAAGCATGAACAAAAGTACTCAAGCAAAAGTGCATTCCCAACAAGGATCATGAAAACACAAATTACAATCCTAGTACATTAATACAAATCAACAAAATTGCACAAACACGCTCCCTCAAATTGACATGCAAAAAAACGTACATGTAAAAAAACATGCACAAAAGTGCATCCGCAACAACATTCTTAAAAACACGAACTACAATACTATGACTTTAATATGCATCAACAGACAACAGCAAACCCACCAGATAAAAAAGATACAATGGAGTGTAGCAATAATTCTCGACGTTTACGTTTACGTGGATTTTTGTTTGGATTAATTTATATTTCTGTTTTTATTGGTGGATTTGGTATCTTTTAGGTACACATCGAAAATTAGGTGTCCAGGAAGCAAAAATGATCAAAGGGTAAGAAAAGAGTTGCAATTAAGAAAATAAAATCAAATTAGAAGATACAATCCCTCAACATCTTTGGTAGTGTCCACGAAGTCGAGCATAACTCTCTCATCCCGACTCCAAATCGACTGGTTCCTGTGGCATTAGAAAGCTATTTCAGTGGGCTACAATTCCCGTCTAACGTCAAAATTCCAAATTCGGACTCGAACATGGTCAAAATTTGATAACAAAAGCGATCATGAAAATACGTACTACAATTCAAGGACGTGAATGCGCATCAAGAAACGTGCACAAAAACACTCGCTAGAAAAGATGCGCACATGAGTAAAAGTTCAAAAGCATGCACAAAAGTACTCACGCAAAAGTGCATTCGCAAAAAGGATCATGAAAACACAAACTACAACCCTAGGACATTAATACAAATCAACAAACATGCACAAACACGCTCCCTCAAATGGACATGCACAAAAACGTACATGTAAAAAAACATGCGCAAAAGTGCATCCGCAACAACATTTTTAAAAACACGAACTACAATACTATGACTTTAATTTGCATCAACAGACAACAGCAAAAACACTAGATAAAAAAGATACAATGGAGTGTAGCAATAATTCTCGACGTTTACGTTTACGTGGATTTTTGTTTGGATTAATTTATATTTCTGTTTTTATTGGTGGATTTGGTATCTTTTAGGTACAAATCGAAAATTAGGTGTCCAGGAAGCAAAAATGATCAAAGGGTAAGAAAAGAGTTGCAATTAAGAAAATAGAATCAAATTAGAAGATAGAATCCCTCAACATCTTTGGTAGTGTCCACGAAGTCGAGCATAACTCTCTCATCCCGACTCCAAATCGACTGGTTCCGGTGGCATTAGAAAGCTATTTCAGTGGGCTACAATTCCCGTCTAACGTCAAAATTCCGAATTCGGACTCGAACATGGTCAAAATTTGTTAACAAAAACGATCATGAAAATACGTACTACAATTCAAGGACGTGAATGCGCATCAAGAAACGTGCACAAAAACACTCGCTAGAAAAGATACGCACATGAGTAAAAGTTCAAAAGCATGCACAAAAGTACTCACGCAAAAGTGCATTCGCAAAAAGGATCATGAAAACACGAACTACAACCCTAGGACATTAATACAAATCAACAAACATGCACAAACACGCTCCCACAAATGGACATGCACAAAAACGTACATGTAAAAAAACATGCGCAAAAGTGCATCTGTTAGAGTAGGTGACCAACAAGCCAACTTGTGGCTGTGGTCTTTCGTATTTATTATGGTAATAAATGAACCTTTATTCGTATTAATGATAAAACACCTTGGCATTCTATATCTTTGTCCCTTTGTCACAAGCATAGATATAGTCCTTACAGTTATTACAAGTACTAGTAATTGATCGTTAGGATCGTGAGATATTTACTTAAGTATTATAACTGTTAAACGTGTTCCTACTCGAAGGGTTACGCCACCAATGAGGATATCGGCCTTTCCCATTAAGACTAGCACTTAGTGTATGTGTACTGCATCTCATCAGTAAACGGTATTGTGATATCGGCATGCATAAGTGGGTGCTCGTAAGTTAACGAGTTCACTGAACTCCCTCACCCTAGAAATCTCTAAGTGGTTCCCAATAATCGAGTAGAGATATCTATGGTATAGTTGTACACCATTAGTCCTTATGACCTAGACATCACCGTGACTTCACTAGAGGACCAGCTGTATCGTGACCTGTCTCTGAGTTCCGCCGAGGACCATCCCAAGGGCCAGTGTTCGTGCAGTCCGAAATCTAGTGGGAGGTCTGTGCATTGTAGTCGGGGATTCGATCGCTAGAATAGTCTTGGATGTCCTGTGTGTTCTGATAGTTTGTAATCATGTTAAGTCTCTGGCCAGAGCTGACTAAGTGATGATTAGAGGATTCGATTCTCTAAGTCATGCACGTGACGATTACAATACTTAGAACGATCGCACCGTCATTGAACATATAAAGAGGTCTCGATGAACCAATGCCTCTAGTTCAATCGGGACATATGTATCGAAGGGACCGTACTGTACGTTAACTATATCTGAAGGTTCTTGCAGGCACTTCATTTGTATCTAGGGAATCATGACGCGTAGTTGCTAGACGCCAATCTTGATTCGTTGGGTGATTAAGGTGAAAAGAGTTTCATCTTAATCGTAACTCTAAGGGGACGAGTTTTGACCACAAAGGGTTGTGGGCCCACGGCTAGCTTACACCTGAACCATCGAGGGTCACACTGCTCGTGCACATGAGATCTTTGAATAAACGGTCAAAGGTAAAATATGTTTATCTTTGCATGTTTGGAAGTCAATATGATTGGGTCCAACATTCGTAATTTGGAATTATGAATGAGAATAAGAAAAGGAAAAGAATAGGCGAACGTATTAGTGAACCTTCTAAATCGGGAAGTTTCCAAATTTAGAAAGTGCACTGAATTAGGGTTTCCACTTTTGGAAAGTTGGAAATCGAGAGTTGGCACTCGTAATGACGAGGACATTATAATGATTCCGAAAATGTAATCGTTACAGTTTTCCGATCATCGAATTGAGAGAGATGAGCAAGTAAAAGAACTAACGAACTTAAGCTGTTGGGCCCGGTCCAACTTAAGCCCGTTAGGGTTTTATGCAAGGGACTATAAATACATGATTTATAGGTCTTGCACAAACACAACAACACGTCCAAAACCCTAGCCGCTCCCTCTCTCACGCTCGGCCATCTCCCCTCGGCCACCGCGCCATCGTCGCCGGAAAAACGCCGGAATCGGCCATCCGTTGGCCGATCTCTTTCGGTATTCCTTTCCTTCTTTCTTTTCTTCCGTTATTCTGACTATTACGTGTCTAGTGCCACGTGTTTAGTAGATCGAAGTATACGAGGTGAAATCCAAGAGGAGGAAGATTGAAGAATCGAAGATGCGAGAAGGCAATTCTGAAAAACTGCTCTCGGATTTTCTGCGCTGTCCAGCGAGAAAATTCGCCATAAATCAACCGGTGATCGGATGGACGTGAAATTTTGAAAGCAGCTTCACGACTCATAAATGTACCATCGTCCAGAAGGAATTATTCATCCAGTAAATACGCATGGAGATACGGAAGTCGGAGCAAGGCTGTAATTTCAGATCAGCAAACAGATTGGATCAATAGGAGTGGGAAGAGCAGCTAGCCATCTTCTCTGCACGTGAGATTCACGCGCCGCCGTGGCCGTCTCGCCGCTGCTGCCGTTGCACCGCTGCTGCCCCGATTCTACGGATTGGTTTCCGTAGTAATCACGACGTATTAATCGCTTCTACCTCACGCTTCGAG